GAGGAGGTCATGACAGTAGAGCAGCTCAGGGGAGTGTGTGTGGATGGTGATGGTGATGGTGATGGTGATGGTGATGGTGATGACGATGATGATGATAATATAATGATGGGGATGGTGATGGGGATGGTGATGGGGATGGGGATGGGGATGGGGATGGGGATGGGGAGGGCGGATGATGTAGGGATGGTGGTACTGATGGGAAGGTGACAGGGGTTTGTGTGCTAAGATGTCACCAGCAGAAGGAGAGCTGTGGTGGGGGAGGGCTGTTAGGGAAAGTGGTTGAATCCCAAGAACCCAAGTCCCAGGATGGACCCTCCCTCCTTCCCTCCCTCTCTCCCTTCGTTTCTATTTTCTTAATCAGAAAAATAAATGCTCTAGTTTTAAAAACCAATAGAACTAAAAGGCTTATAATAAAAACTCGCAGACACCAGTCCCGCCCCCAGCCTTGCAGAGCAGGGGCTACATATTTCAACTCTTGCTATTTTGCTATTGTTGGCCATCCATATTCCTAAAAGTTACGCTTCTACTGCCATTTCTTAATTTTTCTATTTTATACCTTATTTATTAATCTTCCTTCTCTCATTCTCTGTCCCTCTAATTTTGGCAAAATCAAGTCAATATTTGCATTACTATAATTATTGTTCACTGGGTATTATGATTACATTTCCTTTCTTGTGTCATTTTTGGCTTTTCATTACGTTCATCATTGCCCGCCCCGCCCCCCCTCTTTTTTCTACTCTGTTTTTCTGTGATACTGTGAATTCTGCCCAGGTGCTCCAAACCCTCTCTCCACCCGGGGAAATGTCCAGTGGGATTTTCTCCTGGAGGCCCTGTGCTCCCAGATGGGCTGCACACTGTTGTTTGCACACTACGCCTCTCGGCTCTCCTCTGTGGCTCTGTGTCCGGGCTCTGAGGATTTCCTTTCTCCGTTTGCACCTTTGTTAAGGAAGTGCTCCCAAAGCTTGCTGAGGGTGGGTGCATGAGAAGTAAACATTTCCAGTCCTGGCATGTTTAAAAGTGTTTCCATTTGACCCTTGCTCTAAATAATTTGGTTGTGAATAGAAGTCTAGATTGAAATTTATTTTCCCTCTGAAATTGGAAATCGTTTTTCCAATATCTTCTGATTTTAACAAATCTGGTGCAACTCTGATTCTCGACTATTCTATGGCTTCATCTCTAGGGGCTTTCGCCACCTTTTCTTTATCTCTGGCGATGGACATTTTCCACTCGTGAGCTGGGCACTCAGTAAACACCCTCAGTCTGGAAATTCACATCCTTCCATTCTGGGAAATCATCCTGCATTAATTATCTGGCCGTTTCTTCTCTCCCATGTTCTCCTTTCTCTCTTCTGCAACTCATACTGACAGGATGTTACAGCTTCTGTTTATTCTTTAAGTTTCTTCTGTTGTATCCCCCGATTTCTTTTTGTTCTACCTTCAGAAAATTTCCTTAACTTTATGTTCTCTTTTATTTAAAAAAAATTTTTTTTCTCCTAAAATTTAATATCCAAGTCCTTTCTGATTCTTTAATTATTTCTATATTTATTAGATCCATTACTTGTTTTATGGATGCAAAATTTTTCTCTCATGCCCTCTTTTAATTACAGTCTAATTTTAATTACAGTCTAATTTTTAAAATTGTTGAATTTTAATTACAGTCTAATTTTTAAAATTGATGTCTCTGTTTTCTGTGTTTATTTGCTTTGGTATCCTCTTTCAAACTAGAGGCTTTCTCTGACGTCCTGGCCCCTTTGTTCTCTATGGTTAAGAAACAGGTGAGTGGCCTAGAAACTCAGTGTGCAGGCCTAGGGCTCCCAGACGGGGCTATGAGCACCCCACTCTAGATGGGGGCTCTGAGCTGGCTTTTCTCTGGGGCACTACCATAGACTGAATGTTTGTGTCATCACCCCCGCCCCCCAAAACAAGTCGTATGTTGAAATCCTAACTCCCAATACGGTGGTATTTAGAAGTGGGGTCTGAGGGAGGTGCTTAAGGCATAAGGGTGGAGCAGTCATGAACGGGATAAGTGCCCTTATCACAGAAACCCCAGAGAGCTCCTTTCTCCTTTCTGCCATGTGAGGACACAGAGAGAAGACGGCTGTCTGTGAACCAGGAAGTAGGCTCTCTCACTGAGCATCGAGTCTGGGGCCCCTTGGCCTTAGACTTCAAGATTCCAGAAATGTGAGAAATAAATTTCTGTTGTATATAAGCCATCAGTATGTGGTATTTTGTTATAGCATCCTAAACGGACTCATCCAGGCCCCCTCCAGTGTTAGTATCTGAAGGTGTTTTCTTTGGGGCCTTCTCTGTCCTGCCTGGGGAGGCAACACCTTACTGCCTACGTTCTGGGAACAAAGACTGGGACTGAGCTGTGGTCTCACCCAGACAGACTCTCACATAATCTCTCTCTTTTTCGGCCACACTCTTCATCTCCATCCTCACTGTGCTTGTGTCCCCATGACTAGAGGTCTCCACTGTGTCCTTAAGAGAGGAAGCCTCTAGATTCTTCCCAGTGGGCTAGTGGGACAGCCAGCTGTGTTGGCTGAGGAGAGGGGACACGGGAAGTCTAGCTTCTCCATATACAGATTTCCAGACAGCGCCACCCCCCGCCCCCTGTTTTCAGCCCAAGATTCATCCCAGACACCTCCAAGTACTGAGACTTGGTCCTGGGGGTGAATCAGTCATGTCTCCTCTGTGCCCCCTTTGCTGGCTTTGATGTGTAGCTTCCTGCATTCTGCCAAGCCCTTCGTTTAATTTCATCTCCAGAATCTGGTGTCATTTCCCATCTTCTGTGGTCTCTTCTCCCTTCTCTTTGTCCTTGAGGGTTTGTACCTCTTTTGTTCCTTTGCTGTCGTCTTTTAAGAGGCATAAGGAGTAAGCACACATAAATGTGTCAAAAGTGGTACTTTTAAATATTTTGTGAAGGTAATATATCGAAGGGACAATTGTGAAAACTATATTGGACATGGGCAAGCAAAACCTGAGAAGGTGATGAAAATGGGGGCCATTATGTCTTGGCTCTCCCAACAACCAAGACCAACCCCTGCTCCCAGGCTCTCTGCTCTGAGCCACACATGGGAATGTGTTGGGCTCTGATGCCTTTAAACCGGAAGAAGGCACTGAAGGGGGCGGGGCGGGGGGGAGAGCATGCTGGCATTCCTTGGACTTGACATCTGTCACTCCCTGTGACCAAGTCTGAACTTGGGAAAGCTGCTTCCAGAGAAAAGAGACAGACGGTCAAAATTCAGATGTCTTGTCTCTGGTAGGAGGTTTGAGGGGAGGAGCCCTGCTCTAGCGATTGGTGACTTCACCTGTTTTGTGGTTAAAGAGTCTGGAAAGGGACAGGGTAGAGTTACACTGGCTGCCAGACCTTTTTCCCAAGACACATCACTCAGGAGGAAGGTTGGCTCTGTCCCACAGGGGCTCGGGGAAAAGGAAGGGCTGTAGTGTATAGGAGGATTGTGGCATGCAGAGTTAGAAAGTGAGTCTGACTCTTGGCACTGTAACTTTTCAGCTATGTGACCTTAAGCACACCACCTAATCTCTTTGAGCCTCCATCTTCTCTTCTGCACAATGGGGATGCCCACTTCATGCAGTTATTGTGAGTATGAAATGGAGTAGCCCTGTGCTTGGCACACTAAGGGACTCAAACATTACTTGTTATTCTATTAAGAGTGATATTAAAGAGAAAAAAAAAGAGTGATTCGAAAACCAGAAATCTTCCTGCATCCCTCCCAGCCCTGCCTACCATGTTCCTTTGCATGGGGGCATGAGACCAGCTCCCTACTATTGTAAGAGACTTACCCAAAGGGGTGCAACCTGGAAAGAGCCCCTCTTACCTCCCCTTCCTCCAGTGAAGGATGCCTGGGCCTTCCTAGTTTCTCTCCCCCTCAAGACTGTCCAGAGACCCCAGGAAGAAGTGGATTTTAGTGTCCTTAGGCAGGCCTACTTCCAGGTCTTTGGGCTCTGGTGCGCTGGATCTTTGAGCCCACCCAGAAAGTCTGGAGTGGAGGATGGAAGCCTCTGGGGCCAGTAATGTCTGTAGCCCCTCACAGCCTCCTACCTGCCCTGCACTCTTCCTCCAATCCAGGGAGCAGGTTCAGAGTCAGGCTGGGAGCCCCATGAAACCAAAGATCTCTTCCCAAAATGTGGGGCCAAGAACTACAAAGTGCAGAGTCTCAGAGGCAGCAGTTCTGGGACAAGGGGCCTGGGACAGAGAGACCCAGCTTCTCCGGCTACCTGCTGAATCAGCTAGAACAGATATCCTGGAGGCACTTGGGTTGCAGTGGGAGCTGATAAGTTTTGAAATGTAGTTAGAAGGGCCCACCTCACACATGGTTACACAGACACGTCTATGAACATGCAAGCAGTTTCTCATATTTACCTCTCTCACATACACCCTCTCATATGCCTACAGTCTGCTTCTTATACCAGAGAACACATTTCACTCTCATGCTCCTGAAGCAACACACACACTCCCCTACCTCCTATCTGCCTAATCCTAAGGTTGTGAGGAGGGGTTAGAGGGGTCACAGGGAATTTTATAAAATGAGGCTGGCTAAGAGCAGATTTTAAAGACCTATCAACCTTTTCCTACCATACAGTCTTCATCAGGGAAAGACTGGTTCGGGGAGTAGGAGAATAGCTCACTTAACAGAATGGATGTTGGGTTTATGACTGCTCTCCCTGAGATACAGACCCCAGGCTGTTTGGGAGGGGGTGATACCCTTCCAAATAAAAACAGCATCCCCTGTCATGCCATGTTATGACATGAACTCACAGCAGTATTGATAATTTAAGAGATCCTGGAGGACGGTTTCAGGGTAGAAATGGACTGGAGCATGTTGTCATGTTCCCATGGCAGCCTATCTCATTGCCATAGCAACAAGGACCTGCCTCCATTCTATGGCGACCTGGTTTCCGTAATGGGTGGAACACTGTGGTACTTCCTGAGATGGTGGTGGGTCCCACAGTCCTTATGAGAAAGAATATCAACCTGGACCAAGTAGGGGTAGCTCGAGGCTGTCAAATAGGGCTAGGTTTTCTCTTGGGTAGAAGGGTGGACTTCTTGGAGTTTCTCTGCTGACAAGCTCTACTCCACCCTGTAGCAATTCCAACTCCCCAGCTATTGGGGATCCCTGGAAATGTGCACACAAGGCAGACTGACCTTTCCTGATATCCACCACAGCTGACTTAGATGGCAAACGCTGCCCTCTCAGTGCAGTGGGGGAGCCCCGCTCTGGCGTTCGAAGCCTGATTAGGCTTGCCTCTCATGGACTGTGTGCCTTGAGTTATTTATCTTTCTGAACCTCAGGGTTCTCGCCTGTGAAAATGGAGATACATGTCCAGCTCCCTGGGGGGTTATGAGGATGCAGAGGAGTTAGGGATACACGTAAAGTACTGACTCCATCCAGGGCTTGGCGTGGGGAGGGGGAGGATGAATGGCCCAGTCCACTGCTGACACCCCTTGCACTTGGAGTAGAGCTTCAGTGCCTTGAAGCTGACCACTCAGTTCAGATCTGACTCTGAGGCTGGGGTGATATTAAGCCTCGATGACCAGGGCAGTGGTTGGCATCATCCTCCAAATTAAGCTGTCCAACTGGCGGAAAACTTCCCAGGGAAAAGGGGAGGTCCTTAAGCTGTCTGCCTTCCACCGGCCTAGGTCCGAGCTACTTAAAGTATGTGCCGTGGCCCACGCCTCTCTGCTAAATGTTTGTGATGCATTTGCAGTGAGATAAGTCTAAAAAGGAAGAAGATATCTTTGGAAAATTTTATGGAAATTTGATATTGCTGAAAACACCAAGCAGCATCTAATTTGTTTCTTTAGTTATTTTAAAATTTTTCTGTGTGTGTGTGTGTGTGTGTGTGTGTGTGTGTGTGTGTGTGTGTGTGTGTTAAAAGTATTGATCTGCCCCAGGCTGAAGAAACCTGGTCCTTCACCACCTCAAGTTTGAAAAGCACTGTCCCTGAGAACACTATCGCCATCTTAGAACTAGCTCAAGAGCCCACCGAGGAGAGAAGGGAAACAGCCCCATCGGTGCTGCTTGCAAAAATCACTCACGAATCGCACGCGGGCGAGCTGGCAGCACTTCCTTTATTGCTTCAGGACAGACGCTCCAGGCCCCCTCCCCTTGCCGGCCCCCAGCCCCGCCCCGCTTGCGCGGGGCCACCAGGGGGGCGTTGGAAGTCTCTGTCCCTAGGCGCCATGCCGGGGCGCCGCCCGCCGCCGGCCGTAGCGCAGGCCGAACGAGTTCCACCTATAGGCCGACAGGTCCTTCTCCCGCTGCACCAGCGCGGCGCCCCGCGGGGCGGGGATCAGGCGGCTGCGGGGCACGCACAGGCCTAGCCGCCGGGACCCCGCGGCGGTCGCGGGGTCCGCGCACCGCAGGCTCTGTTCCCAGTGGGGCTGGAACGCCAGGGGGCCGAGTCGCTGGCCTAAGGACAGAGCCACAGGGAGAGGCCGAGTGAGGCGGGGCCAGGAGAGGCGTCTCGGAACACCCAGCGGCTCCCAGCCCGGGCCCAGGCTTCCCTTTGTTCCTTGACTTCTAGGAAGCTGAGAGCTCAGTGCCAACTGGGCACCGCCAGCACCGGCAACTCAGCTCTGCAGCCAGGCCATTTCCTGCTCCCTCCGTCAACAAAGCTTTGATTTCGACTTTTCCAGAATTATCTTCAATATCTTTTATATTAAATTACTTCCTTTTAGGAAGCAAACAGGCTGGAGTGTGGAAAGAAAGAAAACAGCTTGGCTCCCTGCCTGGCTCTGCGGCAGGCTCCCCCACTGCACTGTGGGCGGGGAAGTCCCCCCCATGTTCATTCCTCCCTTTACCTCAGAGTGCTTGAACCAGGGTCTCGCACGCAGTAATAAATGCTTGTTAACTATATAAAAGCTAATGAAAACTTGTGGTTACAGAAGTCAAGAAAGTGGAACCCAGGCCATTGTGTCCCTACGCCCTCAATAACTATGACCCCCTAATAAGCTATGTAAGGACTCAGTGAGGAACGGAGAATTATGGGGGTCACCCTAACTTGCTCATCTCCCCACTCTGGGTGTAACCTTTCCTCTTCCTACTGAGGGTTGACAAGGTTAATTTGGAAGGCACTTCACAGGCAAGGCTCATTAAGTTCACTCTAAGTTTTGGCAGTAAATAGTGCAACTAGCTCTGAGTACACAATGACCCCAGCCAATTGTGGTAAGAGATTAGTGGAAATGGAGCCTGATGTGTGAGTGGGTGGGTGTGTGTGTTGGGGGGGGGGTCGGCGGCTGGCTTTGAGCCCTGCTCTTCAGTGCCCTGGAGTTGTGGGGAGGAGGCGTGTGGGCATGGCGGGCGTTAATGATGATCTTCTTGGGAGGCGCTGCCTCTTAAGAAGAGATGGGATGGGAAGATGCTTCCTTCTCAGTTACACTGGCTGTCTCAGCAGTAGGATCACTGCTCAGGCTACTGTCTATGGCCTCGCCTAAAGCCTTTTGCCCAAAACAGCCAACAAGCTCATTGTCCCCAGGGCAGGGGTGAGGTTATTCTCACCCAGAAAGGACACCCGATCCCAGGAGAGAAGACAGTCTTGGCAAAGGACATACAGGGCTAAGTTCTCTGTTTTGGGATATCTTACGGGCACAGTGATATCACATGTGTTGGTATGCTCCGTGCTCCAAGTTCCATAGCTGGAGGAACTGTGGTCCATAGAGACTAAGCCACAACTCTCATTTGCCCGGAAGGCTGACCACCAAGCAGTGTTGAACTCACAACATCTGACTTGGGGAGTAGCAGCGTTCCAGCTTGTGCCACTCAGAGACACACTTTCAGGGAGCTTCCACACCTGCTGAAGTTCTGCAGCTTCGAGTGACTTTGGGGAGATATCTACATATTTGGGCCTAGGTTTCTCCAGCTCATCAGTAACATAGTGAACTCACAAGGTAAATGGGATCTGTCCTTTATTTAGTTTTTTTTTTTTTCCTAAACTCCCCATAAAGGGACTGAGATCACTGATGAAAGAAATTTGCATAGTAAATTTCTTCCCAACAGATATACAGAGAGGTGGTCAGTGTGGAGCAGAGAACACAGTGTGAGAAAAACCATGAAGGAGCTTGCTAGTTAACAAGCACCTGAACCTAGGTGAGCCTGCTGATGCTCTTAGCAGTGGTAAGCCATCCCTAACCTGCAAAGTTAATGGGGGCCCTAAATGAGTTGCATGTGCCAGTCTTGGGTTTCTGTTAAAGACGTTGTTTAACTCACAATAGACTAGCCATAATCTGAAAAATGTGGCAAATCTCATTTTGCAACAACCCACGTGCTCCTTTCCACCCTTTTCCCCAGACAACGCCTACCTGTGGATCTAGGATTCTCCATGGGTGCCACCTTTTCTAATGTTTCCCTGAAGGAGATGGCACAGAGAAAAAGCATCAGCTGCCAGGAAACAATTCTGTTCATCTTGGTGAGAAGGCTCAGGTCCTGGAAGTTCCTTGAGGCTGATAGAGAGGGAGGAGAGGGAGGAGGGACTAGGTCAGGCACAGGTCTGGGCTGGGTGTTGGGGCAGAGCCCAGAGTGAAGGGAGGAGGAAGCCCCTGCCCTTGGAGGCCCCTGGTGGAGGGATGAGTCTGAGCGGAGGCATCATGGAAATGGAACTGAGACCACTTACACAGTATAGTCAAAGCTGAACTCATGCTAGGTGAGAATCATCAGGGAGGGCTTCCTGGAGGAGGCGAGGCCAGTAAGGTTAGGAAGGAAGGAAAGATCCCTATTGGTGGAAGGGGCAGGACTGCTCAGGTTGGAAAGTGGCCAGAATTGAGAGGAATGCTGGAGAAATGGGGGATGAGATATTACGTGTAGGAGTGAGCAAGGAGGGTTGGAGTGAAGTGGCAAGGAGTTCCACCGCATGGAGGACATTGAGGTTTAAACATTCTTTCTGGAGCCTGGTCACTGCCCTCCATGCTGGGTTCGGCATAAATCCACGGTTTTCTGTGCTCCACTCGCCCCATTAGAATGTGCCTTCTTGGACCTGGCCCATTTCCTTCCTGCTGTAATAAAAACTTAATTCTTTTTCTTTTTCATGGAAAAAGGAAGAAAGGCAATCATCTTGCTCTCTCTCATAGCCTTTCACAGCCTGAAGACCGTCATTAAATTGTCCTATTGCCTATAATTCAGGGAAGAGAAAACCTTTCTGTGATTTGTCAGGTCAATTGTCTCCGTATTCTTTCTCTGTGGGCTCCGAGAGGATATGAATTGAATTGACCTCATTATTTTGGCTGCTGAGGTGGGAGCTGTGTACCCTGACCTTCACTTCACTCTGTTTCCCTTTGCCCTCTCCTGACCCTGCCCATCTCTTCCAGCTCCCAAGTCTAATTTCTCTTTTAAAAAATCATTAGGCACTTGGGGATTGTCCAACAGACATGATTAAAGACAAACTGATAGGGAAGCAGTAGAGCTTCAGGAGGAGCCATGAGGGTGTGGGTGCCAGATCTAAGACTTGGAGCCACTCTGGGCTGCGGGTGAGGGGCCAGTAGAGCTGTCATGTGTGCGCATCAGCCCCATCCATCCCTCTGTCCTTGCCCCCGCTCCCCATTCCTTCCTTGCTCTCTCCAGTATCCAGTATGGAGTGGAGGGGAAGAATTCTGAAATGGGATCGGGAAATTCAGATCCGGTCCCAGCTCTGCCCACCCTTGCTGGGAGACCGGAGCAAGTCGACCCCATCTCTGGGCTCCATCTGTGAAATAAGAGCATTGGGTCAGACTGACCACCGACTGTCCCCTCAGATAGCCACTTATCAGTGAAGATTTTGATTCTGTGACACTCTGAAATCCAGACCATGGCTTTCTGCATTTGCCTTAAGGCCTGGGGCAGGGCGGGGAGTAGAGGCAGGACCGATCCATTAGAGAGAAGAGTGTAAAATCATTTTTTTGTGGCTTTGGATCATGGATGCATAGGGTCCAGGTTAGTTCAGAAATCATTCCTTGAGCACTGACTGGGTGCTGTGCTAGGTGCTGGGGTACACAGGTGTGCTAAGACACAGGGATGCTGCCCAGCTCCCAAACAAGTCTAGCACAAGAAATTGAGTCCTAAGCAGACCATTTTAAAAGAGCAACGTGAATGATAGGCTGGAGGCCTGTGAGTATACAGGGGGCTGTGGGAGCCCATGGGAACCCGTCCTAGAGGGTCTAGGCAGATTTTCTGCAGGAATCATGCGGACAAATAAAGACTTACATGGAAGGCAGGCCAGCCAGGGCTCAGGGTGGAGGGAACTGCAGGCCCTCTAGCCTCCCGGGAGGCTGGGGCTTTGCTGGAAAGACAGTGAAGAATCTAAGGCAGTGGCAGGAGGGGAATGTGTGTAGACTTGCATTTCAGATGGAGCATTCTGGATGCTCTGCAGAAGCAGGAAGGGGAGTGAGGAAGAGGGCAGTGGGCAGGCCGTGTGGTTACAAGGTCGTGCTCCTCCTGTGCTCCTCTCGCCTCCCCGCATTGCCTCCTCCCCATCATCGTACTTACCATGGGCACCATGTGAGAGTTCTGCTTTTCCCGTTGCTTGTCCCCAACACACACACACACACACACCCCAACCCTTAACACATGTAATAGAAATGAATTGTTAAGAAAAGAACTGTCGGCTTCCAAGGGGCCACAGTGGCTGTCCTGCTGTAGCAATTTTTGCGGCTCCCTGACCCCAGGGGCTTTTGTGCCTATTGAGTAGCAGAGATATTCCAGGCATGGCCACAAAGCTTTTGAAGTGGGGTAAATTCCTGGGGTGAACTTCTTAGTGCAGTGGGGCTAGCAGGGTGCAAGGCACTCTTTGGTTGGGTTTGTATTTGCCATGCATAAGTTGGGGGAACTACTCAGAGGAGCCTTGTTGAGCCCGTGAGCTCTCAGGGGTTCCCCAGCTCCCTCCGAAAGCTCCTGTGGCCTCTAATCCCACCCACAGATTGCATTTATTCCTGCCACAGTAAGGGGAGTCCTACGGAAGGTCCTGGCTTCACAAATAAAGTAAAAGTCAGTGTATTCACCCAGACATCCTAGAAAATCCAGTCAACCTGGTAATCAGGACCGATCACGCCCTCTTTGCCTGCCTGAGGCACATCAGTCAGTCTCAGAACTAAGTTCCCGCTCCCAGCTGAGCCTCGATGTGTCCGGGTAGACCCCTCCCCAACTGTGGACACCGCAGCGCTCCTACCTGGCTCTGTCCGGTGGGCTAGGAGCTCCGCAGGGTCTCTGGAGATGACACTACTTGGCTGGGTGAACACCCGGAGGGAGGGGAGCTGGGCTCCTGGGCTCACTCTTGCTGGCTCTCTGATTGTGTCCCTTTTATAAAGCCCAGAGTGACGTCTCAGGCATAGATCCCCCTCTGCCTCCCTCTCCCTCCTCCTTAGATCCCCTCAGAGAGCACAAACCGCCATCGCCCGTCTCCTGGCTCTTATGACTAGAATCGGCCTCTTCCTTCCCCTTCAGAAGCCCTCCAAAGCTGCCTTTCTTTCTGATTCCTAGTTCTTTCCATCCTCCTCACCCGCTTTCCCCTCAGACCCACTCAGCGAAAGACCCATTCTGCCCCCAAACAATGTAGAAATGGACTCTTTGAGGAGGGGGCGAGGGGGATAGTGTGAAATGTTCTCCCTCCGGACAAGAGCCCCGGACACACACAGTGTGAAGGGAGCATGATGAAGGGGAGGAGGGCGAGGGTCCGGCACAGCCGGACCCAGGGGCTCCTGTCCCCTGTGTGCTTCCAACTCTGGCCAGCTGGCCTTGGGTCTCAAGGGGACTCCTCGGCTGTGATCTGTGACTGGAGTGGGAGTTCTCTCCTTTTTTCCTTCCTTCCTTCTTCCCTTTTTCCCCTAAACAGTTACTGAGCACTTTCAGCTCAGGGTTTTCAGGTAAATAGAATGGTCAGATGGGTGAGACAGGCCTGTTAGCAGCTGGCTAGGAAGGCGGAATACAATGGTACCCCTAGGAGGTGAATGCACCTGGGAAATGCTAAGGGACCTCTGAGGCGGAGGAGTGACTTCCAGGGGGAAGCTTATCCGAAGCTTCCAGGGCCCCACCTTTGTGTCTGTGGCAACTGTGATCACAGCATTTTGTAATTGCTGTGTACCCCACTATGAAGGCTCCTTCCCTCTGCACCCCCAGCACCCACTGCATTGCTCAGTAGAGACATAGAGGGCCCTCAAAAGTATTTACTAAATGTGTACATTGCCATGGACTCTCGTTTCCTTCTTGGGCCTGCAAGAACGCTCTTTACTCTCGGATGAGGGGCTCCCCAGGACAGACCGTTCCCTCTGTCAGACTGTGGCTCTCTGAAGGCACCGGCTACGTCTCTACCTGCAGACAGGAAGCTCTCCCAGCACAGGCTCTTCCTGGTGGCTTCACTGTGCAGACATCTCCCTAATGGTTGGGAAGCATTTCCTGCCAGTACACAGGGTTGATACTTATCACTTGTCTAATGCCTCCTGTGAACAGGGGCTTGGAACACATTATGTCACTCAGGACTTTCAAATACCAGGAATAAAATGAGCCTATGAGAGCAGGCCTGCCCCTCATCGAGTCAGGAGATGGACTTAATGGGCTGGAAACACTAACTTTGAACCACAGACACACTCACAGCTTGCGGATTTAATCTTTGCTTTTCTTCCTGTAAATACAAGATGGGATGTGATACCAGCCCCAGTGCCATCTCTGTGGGACCCTGGATCTCCACTCCCAACAGTCCTGACAGCCTCTTGAGTTGACTTGGGGATTTGAGGTCAGTCACTCTGCTCCATCCTTCCTTCTGGACTTGGAGAGATCTGAGTGTGTTGGGGAGATGAGTCAGTGCAGTGCGGGGGCTCAAGGGGGTGACCCCATTTCCTTTCCAGCCCCCTCAACCAATGATCCATGTTCAAAGAGCTCATCTCTGCTGTTCAGACCATTGAGCTGGTGCCTTGAAGCCTCTGGAACAGCTGTGGGAGCCAAGAATCATTATTCCAGACAAAGAGTAGAAAGCAGACTCAATATCTAGGTTATTACGAAGCTGGCCTTGAGAGCTGGGAGCAGTGCCAAGCGCAGATATGGAGAGGGGGCTGCGGGGATGTGCCCAGCTGGCAGGCGCATCAAGGCGCTGGCTTCTCGGAGAGCTTATGTTCTGTCAGGTGCTTCAGAGAAAGGGCAGGGCAGACACTGGGGACGACTGCACCAATCATGCCCCAAGGAGAGAACAGAATCTGCCACCTGCTTTTCCTGCTGTCTTGGGCTGTCACGCATTCTCTCCATGTCTGGGGTCCAGACACGGATGGCTCCCCAGAAATCTCTGGCACTTTCTGGATGGGTCACCTAGACTCTCTGAGTGTTGGTTTCTTTGACTTTAATAAAGAGCTATTCATAGCCACCTTCCTCTAACCCCGCCCTTTAGGCACAGCTGCTTATGGGTCCCCTCACCTCATCTACTCTTGTCATATGGAGAATTAGCAGGGAGGGGAAGGGGAGCTGAGGCAGGCCAGCCCGGGGAAGGGGGGTACAAGGGGAGATGGGTAAGGTCAACTGCACCTGGGGGGCAGTTCTACAAACTCCTTGTGCTCCCCTCAACCCAAGGCCCCATCCCAAGGCCCTACCACCAAGCCACAGGCACTTACCGAACTCAGGAAAGGGATGTTGAAGGCATTGCCCAGGAAGCCAAAGGCAACAGGGAAGAAGCCCCTAGGAGCAGAGGGGTGGAGAGGGGTCAGTGTTGGCCTAGGAGGGGATGATAGAGGGAGTAGCAAGGCTGAGGTCCACAGAAAGGCTTCAGCTTTGGCTCCCAGGAGAGTAGGCCGCTGGGCAATGGGAACAGGCTTGGTTCTGTGCGGTAGATGTTTTAGAGGCAGCCGAAGTGAGTGGTTAGAATGAAGACCCTGGGGTCAGACTCCATAGGTTCAAATCTTGGCTCTATCAGTTACTGGTGCTCTATAAGCTTGGGCAAATTCTTTAATTTTTCTGGCTCTGTTTCTAGCTATAAAAAGTGTTTAAAAATAGTATCTACATCCTAGGGCCTTACACAAAGAAATGCTCGAGAAATGTTTGTTTTTATTATTGTCACTGTCTCCTCCTCCCCAAATTGGTTATCACCACGGCTGCAGGTTCTCTGGGCTCCAGGCAGGGCGAACTCCCTCCTGCCTCAGCCCTCTATTCCCATCAAGCACGCCCTGCAGGGCTTGGCTGGGGACAGAGTTGTGATCTTTCAAAGGGCTCAGAGGCACTGGAGGTGAGCGTGGGAAGGGAGGGGCGAGGGAATCGGAAGTCTGAATGCTGCCTGAGCTTTTTCCTTTCCTTGGGTTGCGATTCCCTGAGGTTCACTGCATCCCTGAGGTCGCTCATATCTCTGATTTTTTTTTTCTGCCCTTACAATGCTGCCGTTTTTGTCCAGGTTGACTTTGGGTTTGAACTACTGAATCTGCAGTGGCCCTGGCCACAATCCTAAGCCCTCAATAAATGATCACTGTTGTCAGAATTTGTCGTCCCTACTGAACTGCAAGTTCCTCAAGAAGTTTCTCCGTGTTTAGAGCCATGTCCCCAGACCTAGCCCTGCACTGGGCACACAGTCGGTGCTTTTTATATATTTGAGTAAATGACTTTGAAAAATGAATAAATGGATGACAGTGTATGCGTGAGAAAATTTCATTTCTCGAGGATACACTACATGAAGTCTATGAGGTCTTGGCATTCAGGCTAATCAGGATATTTTCGAGGCTACATTGAGCAGACTGTGGGCTCCTATGGGAACCCAGGGCTTCCTGACCTCAGCTCCTTCCCATGATTCCATGGCTATGATTCTCCCAGCCCCGATCATCCCTATCCCACCCCTGTCCTCCCCACAGCACTCCAGAGACACTGGAGTCTCCCCTCCTCCTCCCGCCTTCCCTAGTATCGTTTCCTTTCTTCTCCTTAAGCGCCTTCCAGTCTTCTCTTAGACCCATCCCTTAAGACCTGTCTCTAGTCCTGCTTCCTCTCGATCACACGCTGGCCCTGACGGTGCCTACCTGTCTTCCCTGAGTCACACCCTGCCTTTCACCAGGGCCAGGCTGTCATGCGACAGGACGAGGGATGTGGATCCAGGAGCCAGAGACATGCTACCTGTGAGAACTCAGTCGGGGGCAGCTTCTCTGAGCGCTGGTTTCCTCATCTATAGAGGACAGTGGGTTGTGGAGATGACAAGGTGAGATGATGATGGTGCATGTGCAGAGCCTGCAAATGTGAGCCCAGTGCCCTTCCTCCCCCCCGGATCATTCAACTTGAGTGTGGGCCTTGTGTCTCCTCCCTGGTGACTGGGCACATGGCGGTGCTCAATGTTTGCTGATGGATGGGCAGATTCTTCCAAACTATCCTTCAGCCTACTGTTGGAGGGACTTTTCCAAGTGTTTGCCTGATGTCCCTCCCCATTTTCAATCCTTCCATGGCTCCTGTCTCTTGCAAGATCCGTCTGGCTTGTGCACACCCTACTGGTCGGGCTGCCCAAATCTGGTGGGCTGATCTCAGCTACTCAGAGACTCCAGTAGCCTGTCCAGGGGAAAGGGACCTGCACTCACTTGAAGAGGCTAAAAAATCCATAGGTTTCTAGAAACATGCCCAGGAGGGGCCAGCGCAGGAGCACGATGACCACGCCTCCCAGGAAGAAGCTGGTCCCCTTGAGCTTGTGTCTCTGGAAGAAGAAGGAGAAAGTCTTCTTCAGGCCAATGATGAGGGAGAGGCCGGTCAGGAACAGCAGCTGTGGGAGAGGGGAGGGGCATGAGCACAAACACAGCGGTTCCCCTCCCCATTCCCGACCCTGGGGGTCAGGGGCCAGGCCCGAAGCCACAGTCAGGCATGGGGCAGGACTTGCCACCCAGTCATGTGGCAAAATCCCAGAGCCTTAAGTAATTTGAGCTGGTTAGGAACAGAACTGCCCAGAGGCAGGGGGCTGGACAAGGAGAACATTGAAGGTCTGTAGTTTCTCACCCCATTCAACCCAACTTCTTGGCTCCCAAGCACTTTTTCACGTGTGACTTCATTTCTCATCACACCTCCCAAGAAAGATAGGACAGATAGTGAGATTCCATTTTAGGAAGGTGAAGACCAAGGCTGACATAGGTTAGGCAGCCATACCCAGAATCACATGGAACTGTCAGGGTTCCACTGCCTGTGGAATTCTGCTCCAAGCCCTCCATTGTATGGTCCTGTCGCTGTCTTCAGCTTGGCTCCTAATAATCCCTTATGAGTGCCCAGGCTCCCATCAAATTCAGCTATGGCTTTCATCCAGCATGTTTCATCGACCTGGAAGTGCTTTATGCACCACCACACCCATTTTCCTTTCCAAATTCCTTCTCATCCTTCTCCAACTGGGTATGCTCTCTTTCCTCCAAGGATCTTGTTTCATATTAAATATGTCTTATGGTGACTTTGCCACACCCCTATCTTCCT